AAGGAATTTCTAAAATATAGGATGAATCCTATTTTTGACGCGGCGCAGCGCGGCGCAGGCAGGAAGTGGAATGTTCATCCAACAACTGTGAGGCTGCACACAAGACGCTCCGCTTCCGCAACGTTTTGAAATGCGCCTGGTGGGTCAGGACGCAGGAGGAGGTCGCAGCGCGGCGCAGCCGCAGCGCAGACGCTCCTGGTGCGATTAGGGGGTTAGTCTCTCTGCGTTTCTGCGCGGGGCTAATGCTAATGCTAATAATGCTAATGCGAGGATAATAAAATGGTGGCTTCACAAAACTTTTTGGGAGTTTTACGGGGCGTGGTTTGCAATCCGCCCAGCCAATCAGAAATAGGAACCTTTTTCTCCCACGAAAGTCCCTGCTCTAGCAGGGACTGAAAAGGGGGTGAAAATGTTCTCATGAACTAATTTTAGTACCGGCTCTTTTTGGTGTGAATGCGACAAAAGAGTTCTCATGAACTAAGCTCTCATGAACCTTTGTGGGAAAAGTACTGCGGTGTGAATGCGCCTATTGAGTCACTTCTTCTTTAAGTGTTTTTCTTATTTTTGCAAAGATTTGTTTGCCTTGGATTATATAGGCTATTTGTTGCTTTATTTTGTGGAGTGACCGAATAGCATGCTGTTTTAAGAAGACTGGCTTTTCAGAAACTGTTTACATCTCCAACAAAATCACAAACACAAAATATATTTTGAGATGGACATTACCTCAGAGCCCTCAAAGAGACATTACTCTAGGTATATTTTGTGTTTGCGCTTTTGTTGGAGTTATTTGAATGTTTTTTGTTAAATAAAATGTTTCAGAGATGCCCGTCCAAGTCTGTCTAGGCCTTTTAGTTTGGGTGGTAAATGTATTAGAGGACACACCAATATTATCAGCTCCTATTTGCCTTGTTAAAGAACCACAGTAGCTCCTAAATTATTTTAGTGGTAACTAGGCTTTAAATATGAGCTGATTGTTATCATTAGTTAAACGCACCTTCTATAAAGAAAAAAGTGAGCATTGTTCATTGGCTGATCCAAACTCTGCTCTCCTTTTTATAATTGTTATTTCTGATTGTCCTTCTATCCATTGTCAACCGCTTATCCGGAGTCGGGGCGCAGAGGCAGCAGTTCCAGCAGTTCCAACAGAAGGCCCCGAACTTCCCTTTCCCTGGCCACATCAAACAGCTCCAATTGGGGGATTCCAAGTTGCTCCCAGTCCAGCGTGGAGATACAATCCCTCCACCTGGTCCTGGTACTGCCTCGGGACTCCTCCCAGCTGGATGTGCCTGGAACACCTCCCTATGTTGGCACCAGGTTCCCATAACCCCCTCAATTGGCTCTGTTCAACACGAAGGAGCAGCGGCTCTACTCGAGTCCCTCCAGATGACTGAACTTCTCATCTTATCCCTAAGGGAGATGCCAGCCTCCCTCCAGAGCAAACCCATTTTGCTGTTGTATTCACAATCTTGTTCTTTTGATCATATTAGTGGTTTTTGTTACAACCCTTTTATTAATTTTTCAAGCCATATTAAGATGACTAACTCAAACAGGAGGGAATTTGTTTGGGACTATTTTCAGTTGAGGATTAATTTGTTTCGGCATTGATTATGTCGTTCCTGACTTCTTTGGTTCTATTGTTTTAATCCAGTTCAATATTGTAAGAGTGTATTCAATCCTTTATATTGTAGCCAAACTGGGAGTCACACACAGCCCAGGGGCCTCATTTATAACGCCGTGCGTAGGATTCACGTGGGAAGGTTGCTTACAGTAGAAATCCAAAAAATAGGTACAGAAATGTTCCGACATTTTCCGATTCACCAAACATTGCGTACCGGCGAGGAAAGTGCGTACAGCACTTCCTACGCCGGTTTCCCTTTATAAATCGACTCGAAATGCGGTGCAGCTTTTGCAGGCTTCACGTAACGCCCATATTTGTCTATAAACAGTCAAAGAAACGCCCATTCATTCATTCATTTTGACTGACTGCATGAAGAAGATCGCAGGAAATGACGACAGAACAGCTAAAAAAGACATCTCACACCGTATCAGATTTTGGTTATTTTGGGGAGGTCGAGATAAATCATATTGTTTGGTGGATGCCGTTTGAACCACACTGTAAAAATATCCACCGTGAATTCACAATAATTACCTGGCAACTTGTTGCATGACTTTCACAGTAAGGTTCACAGCAATTTACTGTGAATGTCTTCACAGCAATGTATTGTAATTTCACATCCATGATATTACAATGCATTGTTGTAAAGGTACAACTGTATACTGTAACTTCACAGCTTCAATTACTGTGATATTACAGTATGTTACTGGGGAATTACATTATTTTGTTGTACATTAATTACAACAAGGGCCTGTACTTTTACATTTCTATTGTGAAAGTACTGCAGGAGTAGCCAGTAATTTACTGTGAATTTACAATATGTACTGTGAAAGTACTGCAGGAGTAGCCAGTAATTTACTGTGAATTTACAATATGTACTGTGAAAGTACTGCAGGAGTAGCCAGTAATTTACAATGATACACGTGCATAACTGTAATTCCCAGCTCCAGTACTTCCTGGAGGAAGCTCATACAATGGTTTCCTGTCCAAGTTTAACAGGAAACCAAAGTGTGAGCTTCCTCCTGGAAGTACTGGAGCTGCACTATAAAAATGCACTTAATGTTATTGTACAATTAAAAACAACACACCAAACGCACAAATGAGGTAAAATCAATGGAAGCCCACTGGCATATTTATTGACAAAATAAACAACAGAGTAAACAAACAGGAACATGAACTAGTTCACCTCAACTATCCATAAAAAACAGATGAACCCTTAACGGATCCTTTAAACAAATAATCCCTCGCAGGTGAACTGACCGTAATGCTTCCCACTAAACTTGTCCCCGCACACCATGCAGTCTATGCAGACCATTCCAAGTCTATCAGCTTCCGGTGAAGGGTGCTCACGTGAGGGTTAATGGAGCTTCGCTTCTTTGCCTTGGAGCCTTTCTCCGGGTTGATGCCCAAGAAGCATCTGTTAATAAGCAAAGATAAGTTTCAGTTTTAAATACACTCATGTATTGCAGGCAGCATTTATCAAGGTGTTCACCTGTGTCTTTTCCCACACCGACTGTTACTAGTACAAACCTGTTGGATCATCCTCTCACAATAACATTATTTGTAGCCTAGCAGAGTGCCTCAGGTACCTCTAACATAAGGTTTACTTACTTATCTGAATTTTGAAGCCATACTATATTGTGAATTAAACCATTATGTCAATTTTTTAACAAGCTAGCCCAGCAACATCAAGTGATGGTGTGGTCCCAATTCGCATATTTGGTTCCAGGCTTCATACTCAAAGCATTTAATCTACTTTATAGCCTCTGTAGAAAGGCATGGACTTAATAGCAAGATAGTGAAACACAAATTTGCATGACAAGTCTTACTGATGACATTGATCATGTGTTTGAGTGTTACAATACCTTTGGATGAACTCCAGTGTGCATGATCCAACGGGATATTTGAGGTTGAAGACATAGTAGCTGCTGAATAAAGCAGCTAGCCCATGCAAAAAAAATGGGTGTGGGCCCATTACCACTTGTCCCTCGATGGATAGCATCCACCCAGAAGGCTTCATTGTGTCACCTGAAATGAACAGATACCCCGTCATGCGTTATTGTGGATAGGTACATTCCTAGAATCAATCAAAAATAATACTTGAGCTGGAGATGTCAATACCAGATCCGAGTAACATTCATGATTGCCAAGGACCAAAAAGCAGGAAAATATACAGTGCAGAGCATGCAAGGACATGACACAGAACCCTCCAGGTGGACAGCACTTTTCTACTCCACCATCAGTGAGGTAGGCTACTTAACAGTCACTGTAAAAGCATCAAAGGTGTTTGTGCAGATAGGAGAATCTGGCTGAACGACAAAGCAACTCCCTAGCCCTCCTCCCTCTGCCTTTATGGATAGACGGTTTAACCTCATTCCTCTATGGGTAGATGGTTACGAGCCCAGCTAGAACGAGAACATGTCAACTCGTCAGACCCCTGAATCATTGAAACAGGCTATAGATTTTAACTAACGCGAATCGCTGAAACATATGGCGTCAGAGTATCGTAAGTGTCGTTTCACAGACTGGACTTGAATGGAGTGCAGGAGAGATGGAAGGCCTTCAGTCAGATTCTCCCCTTGATGCAAAGGAACACTTAAGCTCTTTAGAGTAACTATTCAGTATCCTATACCTCATCGATGGTGGAGCAGAACAGGGATGTCCTAAGAGAAATTATATAACTAGAATAAAAGCAGCAGTGAAGTCTAGCCATTCAGGTCAGAAAAGCAGGAAATCCAGTATAAACAGGAACAATCCCAACCCTGAACATTACATTACCTTGAATGATCAAGCAGGGGGTGCTTGGGAGTGCTGCAGTATTCACTACATCAGCAGCAGTGGCACAGGTCTGAAACAAAGTAACACACAATAGCATAGATTTAACATTATGCAAGGATGAAGATCGTTCATTGGTCAGAGGTAAATCAGAACATAATAAATGGTCTAATAATAATAATAATTACTTGCATTTATATAGCGCTTTTCAAGACACCCAAAGCGCTTACAAATGGACGTCCGCAAACCAATGTGTAGCCCCCGCCTGGGTGATGCTAAGGCAACAGCTAATCCGCGCACTACAGCTCAACACAGATCAGCTCGGCCCATTTGGAGCAACTTGGGGGTTAAGTGTCTTGCTCAAGGACACTTCCGACATGCGGACAGTCAGAGCCAGGATTCGAACCACCAACCCTACGGTCGATGAACGACCAGCTCTACCAACTGAGCTTCAGTTGCCCCTAATGTAATCACTCGTTTAGCATTTTAAATATTTAAATACATTTTAAAAAACTTACATCAACTTCGAGCATCAGTTTCTCCGTAGGCTCCTTAAAGTAGACCATAAGGAGCTGGAGGATGCAGGCAGCCTTCTCCGAACCCTCTGGATCATAGCAGGCCAGAAATTCCCTGATCTTCGGGTTGTCCAGTTTCTGACAGAAATGCAGGATGGTCTGTCCTCTCTGATGACCTAGAAAAAAGGAGACCAGAGAAAGGAGAAATTACAAAGGCAACCAACAAAAGGAATTTTTCAGTTTGCATGCAGATTATGAACATGAGCATGTTGTAAAGGTGTTCAAGGTCAGGTAGTCGAGCATCCCATTTAGACGAGACAGCAGTCACAATCATATCGAAATGTTAACTACCTTAGCTGCAACAACACTCGAACAGTCACTAGCAATTTCCTCGAGGATGGCGCACGCACACCAGGATCACGAGGATGTCAAATCTGGAATAGAGGCAGTAAAAAACCACCACAGGGAAGCAAGAGAGGTAAGCTCACATAAATGTACTGTCAAACAGTATTGGATGAAGTGATTAATCTCAGGTGTGCTGCACAGGTAACAAATGTCTGAGCTTCAGTACTTCATGGAGGGAAGCACTGGAGCTGGGGACTGCAGTTATGCACAGTCTATAAACTACGGTCTGTGTTGCATACTAGGCCTACCTCCAACTAGGAAGCAATCCGTGGATTGGATTTAGGCAATACACCTCGTCGCGTCGGTCAACACCAGGCAGGCAATCAGTAGGCCTAGAGCAAGATACAAGATCTGTTTATTCGCCATGTAGTTTTACAACATACTAGAAATGTGTTGCTGGTAGGTACTGACATAAAGACAACATTGGACAGGGTGCAGGGACAAGACAGGACAAGTGCAAAACAGGACAGTGTACAAAATGCAGGTAAAAGTAGAAGCTAATTTAGGCTAGAATAGTATAGAAGTAAAATAAGATTTAAAAAATTGTGTTTTCAGAGAAATAACATTACGCATTGCAATAACCTATAAACATTTCAAACCTATAAACATTGCGAATCTGTAAACATTGTGAAGAGGCAAGAGAGTTTGGTAATCCTTTATCATCCAGAGTAGTGTTGATGAAAGTATTGAGTGATTGAAACTTTGCTCGCCACAGGATGGCGTCTGTAACGCACATATTAACATAGATACGCTCCTCTGAAATGATTGTCCCCTGCAATTATTATTATCCCTCAATCGAGATCGCTATTCAGCTAGCTAACGTTAGCTTAAACAAACGTAACATGCAACGTTAGCCTAATCTAAAATGCTCTACTACGGCGTACCTTTCATGTGGCTCGTCAGCTCAGACTCTCGCATCGTTATTTTTGCAAACTTTGCAGGAGGCTACTCGTGGGCTTGACCCTCGTCTTAGCCATGGCTTGTATTTGTCTTCTGCTAGCCAACGCTCGTTGAAACTGCAACCTCCTGGCACACAGTCATCTATCACTCTCATCAGAATGCCCAGGTCACACGTAACACAAACACTTGCAGGTCGCGCGCATAGCGCGGGAAGGCCGCAGCGGAGCTGTTTTATGTAGAAGCGAAGCAATTCTTTTCTTTTAATCTAAAAAGCGAACTATTCAGTCAGACAGCAATTTATTGTAAAAGTAAAGCATTTACATTTTCAAGCACTTTATCTCAATTTCAAGCACCATTTCCAAAATTCAAGCACTTTCCTAACCTTGAAAACAACACGTCAAATGTCAAGCATTAACAAGGATTTCAAGCACCCGTACGAACCCTGAGTAGTACAGTTAAAACCTTAACGATCCGAATAATCGATGAATCGATAGATTCATCGATTATCAAATTAGTCGTGTGTTGCAGCCCTAGTGATGACACGTGGTGACACCAATGTGCAATAGGGTCTGTGACGAATTCATTAAGAACATTGTAAGAGCAACTAACGTTACCAACTTTGACACCGATTTAGATTAGGTCTAATTTGATTAGACAATGTCATGAAACCACCAAGCACCTAGCACAAGAAACATTCATTAGCTAGCTAACATCAGCTAACCTACTAGTAAGTTAGTTAGACCATGGCGTCAGAATTCAAACTTAGCAGCAATGCTAAGCTAACTAGCTTATACCAATGGCAATTATACCAGTCTTACCGGTTAAAATATTCATTGTTCGCTCTTTCATTCGAATACAGCATAAGCCTTCTGCCAACAAATGGAACAGTCAGCAACAGTTGGCTGGCTAGCACCAGAGCCATCTACCATAGCCATATACGGCGCTGGCTAGCACTAGCTAGGCTAACGTTAAGGCCACCTGCTTGAAGGTGGACATGGCTGCTATCAAGCTAATGTTACTAGCTAACGCTAGCTATCTATTCGCTACCATGTACAAACCAACACGACACTACTCCACTGGCGTTCACAATCGAAAGCACATAATATCCACCACTAATCCACATTATGGGCAGTACTTACTTGCTGTTTACCGATGGTAACCGCTTTGGAGAAACTCACAGATGTTCACCTTGACTGTTGCCTCCGTGCGAATTTTCGAAAGGATCGAGGCATCTCTGTTAGGAGGCTTTGGGTTCCTCAATGCGCGATATGATTGGCCGTTCGAGCGATGACGTTCCGTTTCGTCCCTTCAAACGTGACACCTACGGTTAACAGGCAAACCAGTGGACAAATATCCAGAAATGACGTTTTTTCTGGCGTGTATGTCACGTGATCTTCAACTTTCTCAGCAGAATAAAATAAATATAAATATATCAGCGATTAAACAACATATTCCATTTCTTTTCACACAATACGTCTCCTTTCAGTATCAACACTAATTCGGCTGACTTATATATTTGATCCAATTGGTAGATAGGGACACCTAGTGGTTAAAGCACGTTATTGAAATATTTTGTTGAATAATCTTTCATCTTTAATAACCTGACTTTGGAAAGGGCTGGAAAGATACTTTTTTCACCAGGGGCCTCTAAATAGGGCCCAGATAAGAAATATGAAATATGGGAACCGTAACTCACCCAGACATTTTTTTTCAATCTAATGTCAAACTCTCACAAAATCCTGTCTAGAGCTAAAGATTGGACACCCTTTGGTGAGGGAGGGAGAGAAAATTGAAAAAAGGTGCTTGGCGCTTCGAGACTTTGAGAGTGTGTTGCTTCACTTGTGTGGAACCCGCTTGCAAAATTTGGGGCCGCGGTGACCTTCAACCAAGTCTCAAACTAAGGTTAAAGGCAGTGCTGGAATTGGGCCGGTACTCACCGGTACGCAGTACCGGCACTTCTGGTTCTGACCCATGGAGTACCGGCACTTCTTGCTCAGTACCGGCATGCTGGCGGTACTCCGGTACTCATGCACCGTGCCAGTACTCAACACTCTCCCGCCGTTCTTATTATACATCCATATATATATATACAGCCGCCCGGTACTCAGTAGATGCGTCATGAGGTGCCGAACGGACATTCTCATCGCTCTAACCGCTGGAGTTTCACAGCGGCTGTCAGCTGTTTACTCCTGTCATTCAAACAGAACGTGCTGTTCAACTTTGGTTCTTAAAACAGATAAAGTAATTATCGTAGGTGACTTTAATATTCATGTTGACGATGATAAAAATAGCCTTACTGTTGCATTTAACTCTATATTAGATTCTGTTGGTTTTTGTCAGAGTGTAAATAAACCAACCCACTGCTATAATCACACTCTCGACCTTGTTCTGACTTATGGTATTGAAATTGAGCAACTATTAGTCGAACCGCATAATCCTGCTTTATCCGACCATTTCTTAGTAACTTTTGAAGTACTGTTACGAGACTACAAAGCATTAGTCAAAAGCTCCTGCAGCAGAAACCTATCTGTTAGTGCTATAGCCAAATTTAAGGAAGAGATTCCACCAATACTTAACTCGATAGCATGTCTGCATGTAAGGGAGGAAACTTATACAAAATGTACACCACCCCAAATTGATCATGTTGTTGATAGTGCTACAGATGCGCTGCGAATACAATTAGACTCTGTTGCTCCTTTGAAAAAGAAGAAAATAAAACAACATAGATTAGCTCCATGGCATAATGCCGAAACCCGCAAAATAAAGCAAAAGTCGAGACAACTTGAAAGGATATGGCGTTCTACTAAACTTGAAGAATCTCGTTTAATTTGGCATATTACTCTCAATGAATATAAGAAAGCACTGCGTAAAGCGAGAGCAGCCTACTACTCTTCATTAATAGATGAGAATAAGAATAATGCAAGATTTCTTTTCAGCACTGTAGCCAGGCTGACAGAGAGCCACAGCTTGATTGAGCCTTCTATTCCCATAGCACTCAGTAGTAATGATTTTATGTGCTTTTTTAACGATAAAATTGTTACTCTTAGAAACAAAATTAATGACCTCTTGCCTTTGACCAGTATAGTGTTATCAACAGCTCCCGGAAACGTAAGTTCTAATATTACACTAGATAGTAAACTAGAATGCTTTTCAGCCATAAACCTTGAACAATTAAATTCAATGATTCTCTCTTCTAAACCATCAACGTGTATGTTAGACCCAATTCCAACTAAGCTGTTGAAGGAAGTTTTTCCATTAATTAGCACTTATTTATTAAATATTATGAATATGTCTTTATTATCAGGCTATGTTCCACAATCATTCAAAGTAGCAGTGATAAAACCGCTTCTTAAAAAGCACAACCTCGATCCAGAGGTTTTAGCCAATTATAGACCTATTTCTAATCTTCCGTTCCTCTCAAAGATTCTTGAGAAAGCGGTCGCAAAACAGTTGTGTGATTACTTAAAAAACAATGATTTATTTGAAGACTTTCAGTCTGGCTTTAGAACACATCATAGCACAGAGACAGCTCTGGTTAAAGTCACAAATGACATTCTAATAGCCTCAGACAAGGGACGTGTCTCTATTCTTGTTTTGCTCGATCTCAGTGCTGCATTTGATACTATCGACCATGATATCTTATTGCAAAGACTAGAGCACTTAGTTGGCATACAGGGAACTGCTTTAGACTGGTTTAGGTCCTATCTATCTGAACGCTCTCAGTTTGTACGTGTCAATGATGAATCTTCCACACAAACCAAAGTTAGCCATGGAGTGCCACAGGGCTCAGTGCTCGGACCTATTTTGTTCACATTATATATGCTTCCGTTAGGCAATATTATAAGGAATCATTCTGTAAACTTTCATTGTTATGCGGATGATACTCAACTATATTTATCAATCAAGCCTGATGAAATTAATCATCTAAATAAAATTCAAGACTGCCTTAAGGACTTAAAAACGTGGATGACCTTAAACTTTTTGATGTTAAACACGACCAAAACTGAAGTTATTGTACTTGGCCCGAAGAATCTACGAAACAAATTATCTAAGGATATACTAACTATGGATGGCATTAATTTGGCCTCCAGTGAGACTGTAAGGAATCTTGGTGTTATATTTGATCAGGATTTATCCTTTAACGCCCACATAAAATCAATTTCAAGGACCGCCTACTTCCATCTACGTAACATTGCAAAAATCAGGCATATCTTGCCTCAAAACGATGCAGAGAAACTAGTCCATGCATTTGTTACTTCAAGGCTGGATTATTGTAACTCTTTATTATCAGGGTGTACCAAGAAGTCAGTCAAGTCGCTTCAGCTGATTCAAAATGCTGCAGCTCGTGTACTAACCAGAGTTAGGAAAAGGGACCACATTACTCCTGTTCTGGCTGCCTTACACTGGCTCCCTATAGAACACAGGATAGAATTTAAAATTCTTCTTCTCGCCTACAAAGCCCTTAATGGGCAGGCGCCATCTTACCTTAAAGAACTCATTATACCCTACTGTCCTACTAGGGCATTGCGTTCCAAGAATGCAGGGTTGTTGGTTGTTCCTAGAGTCTCTAAAAGTACAATGGGAGCCAGAGCCTTTTCTTATCAAGCTCCACATTTGTGGAATCAGCTTCCAGTTTGTGTTCGGGCGGCAGACACCCTATCCGTTTTTAAGAGTGCGCTTAAGACCTTCCTTTTTGATAAAGCTTATAGTTAGGGCTGATTAGATCCAGCCCCTAGTTTTGCTGATATAGGCTTAGTTTGTCGGGGGACATCTTACTTCTTCCTTCTCTCTGTCTATACCTGTGTACTCTCATGTTCCGATTAACCCAGCTTCCCCAAATGTCTTTCTTTTTGGTGTCTATATACGCCGGGATCCGGAGTCATGGATGATCCTGCGCTCCTCTGTCCTGGATCGCGAGCCCTGGATCTTGAGTCGTGGCTGTGGTCCTGGACCATAGGTCCTGGATGGATATCCTCGTGGATTCATCTTCCTATTATACACACATGCATTTCCAAACATTTGGACTACCTATGTTGCAAATGTATTATCTTTTCAATTTACACACGGCATCTATTGCACGTCTGTCCGTCCTGGGAGAGGGATCCCTCCTCTGTTGCTCTCCCTGAGGTTTCTCCCATTTTTCCCTTTAAACTGTGGGTTTTCTCCGGAAGTTTTTCCTTGTACGATGTGAGGGTCTAAGGACAGAGGGTGTCGTATTGTCATACTGATATTTTGTACAAACTGTAAAGTCCACTGAGACAAATGTAACATTTGTGATATTGGGCTATATAAATAAACATTGATTGATTGATTGATTGATTGCTGGAGAGGGGGCGGGGCTTATCTTCTCCATGTAAATACTGTGGTGGAAACGACTATGTCAAAATTAACCTATTTGACCGTGATTTAATAGTAATACACGTTTCAAAATAATAATAATAATAATAATAATAATGCCGAAGTAACAACATACTGAAAACTGTTAGTAAAACCATGTTTTAATGCTTTACAATTTACATACCTAGATGCACGTGTGTTGTGTTTATGCAGTGCAACTCCCACCCAGTGGGTGGCTATGTAGAGTGATAGAACAGAGCAGGCACGCCCCCGAGAGAAGGAAAGCAAGTCACGTCACAAATTAGCATTTCTAAAATGTTAGCGTGGATTAATAAAAGTGCAAAAAGACAGCGGTTGTCGCCGGAAGAAACTTCAAATACAGAGAATGCTGTACCTGTGTTGGAAATTGTGTCTGATGCGGAGCTTTCTTTGGTTGATCCTCCTGCTCCAAGTTCTAGTGCATTAGCATTAGCACTAGCTCCGCCGCCTCCTCCAGAGCCTCTAACGTTAGCTGCTGCTGGCGCAACTGCCACCACCAACACCGGGCAAAGCGATGCACCTGACTGCTGGACAACGGACCAGGTGCAATATTTTTGCAAGACCAATGCATGGCTCCTTCTTAAAGATAAGAAGCTAGGATGTCGGATATGCAGAGATGTCAAATCTTTGGGAATACACACTGGACAAGGACTGAAACTGTCAACTGAATGGGGTGAGTGTGCAGTGTCTCATTTCGGTGTTGACAAGGGCAAACAACAAGCTAGCCTGAGAAAAAAAATCAAAGAACATAAAGAATCACAAGCCCATGTAAAAGCTGCTGACATCCTTACATCTGCTTCACGTGAAACTATTCAACATCAAGTGCAGTCTATGCATAAATCTGAATTAGACACCACTATCAGAGTTTTTTCGAACGGCATATAAAATTGGCAAACATAGCCGGCCATTCACAGACATGCCAATTGATTTGAATGTACAGAAACTGAATGGGCTGAACGTGGACAGGGT